GGGATGGTCTTCGAAGGGGAGTGCGGTGAACGGACTGAACGGGCCGGAAACTCGGGGTTTTCTGTTCGAAACGGATACAGCTACCATTTCTAGAAACAAGTTAGAAGAGGTCAGTGACACGGAGAGACGAAGTGATGATGTAAGCTATAGGCGACAAAGGTCTCGGACTCGGACTCGAAGAGGTCAACCTTGAATAGCCGGCCCCATCAGTATGTGGTGCCGGTCAAGTCACGTATCGTGAAGAGATAGACCTTACTGGGGTCTTCGGCTGGCAACAGCTCGGTTAATGGTGCCGTGGTCGATCACTGATCTGTTGATCCCCGACTAGGTATCGTACAATCCCTGTGGGTGCCGGCCTGATCGCGACGGTGTTCGTTGTTGAAGCTAGGTGGTAGTTCTCATGCCGCCGTCCGTTTGGTAGAGTGTACGGTAGTGGGACGGACAACAAGGACAAACGGACTGGAAGGTGAATCTGATGCTACTGCAACTAAGGCAAGGCTCACCGGCCCAAGAAGGACCAAGCCTCTTGGACCGACGTTAAGTGCAGCTCCAAGCTGCTTCCCAAAGCTATTTTGAGTGTGGGAAAGGGGAACGGGGGAACGGGGCAAGAGGGAGGGGGCCTTCAGGTTAGAGGGGAATACGATCCCGCCAGCGCTAATGCGGGAGGAAATTTCCCATCTCAGGGCACTTGGCTCTCCTCCTTCTCAACCAGCTCCGCGTAAGGTAAGGTACCTTACTGACTGCCTTAGCCTACGGATAGGTACCACCTCGAGTGCCGTAGCACCGAAGGCAGTTAGTAGGTACTCGGTCTAAGTAGTCTAAGTAGTCTAAGTGAGCCAAGAGCCTCAGGCATAAGCATATCTTCCGTTACGTACCGTCAGCCGTCCCAAGAGAGCGTTTCTTCCAACAACAACTCTCACCTCACTCGGGTGCTTGTTGGCAATATCTTCATCCATACACGTTTACTCGCACGATCCCGACATCTCACTGCTTACTTGCGCATGGGCCAACGCCAGCAGGGAAAGGCAGCATGACTACAGCTGGCTTGTGCATATTCCCTGCCATGTTGGCAGCTTGGCTCTGCTGCGCCCATAACCAACTTTCACCACAGCGTCGTTGAACCAGCATTCTACTGCGTTCAACACACAAATGCTGATGTTGATACCCACGAGGTCGCCTGGCTAGTCTAATTCAGCGAACGATAATCCTGGCCGGCCGTCCCTTTTCTTTGTTCATTAGCGCCAATTCATCATTGGCCTGACACGTCTCTTGCAGACCACGATGGCACTACAGTGGCCGATGCATCCTCACCATCCACAGAGACGGACGGTAAGTCAGATATACAGTACAGTACACAGGCACACCCGTGGGCGTACACTTTCAAGGGGCCGCACCTTTCACCGCAGCTCGAAAGTCTCGTCGTACACGGCAAGGCCCAAAAGTTCCCGAATCGAAAGTCAAGTGGTCACTGGAAGGCACTTGGGACCCAATTCTTAACCATAACGGCAGCACAAAATGGACCATTTTGGGCCTAGCACCGAGACCTGGTTCACCTGGTTCAGCACCCCCAATCTTGGCTCTCCTACGAGACAGGTCCACACACGTTGAGGTAATCCACACTCGTCGACGCCACCGCAAGGAGTTTTGGGATAGCAAATTCTTGATTCACTTCTCATCCAACGTCTGCTTCTTGATGCCAAGATGACGGAACTGCACAATGCCCACGCTCGCGGGCTTCTTGGGACGAAGAATCCGGCGGACGGAATCCGGCGACCATCCCATCTCACCAGAGCGCTCCCTTCCTCGGCTCTAGATTCGTACAGAATGGTATTAGCCCAACCTCGAGATGGTAAAGTCTACCGCCATGACGTCGGCATGTACCTGAGCGCTTCGGCCGAACTAGGCCTGCAATCTCACGCTTTTCCCCTACACCCACAATTCGAACACTGACTCTTGAAAGTAGGTCGCTTGCTCCTTCTGTGCAGCGAGTGGTCTGCTTGCCGAAGAACCGTCTTACGCTTCCTTCGACGTGGACTGTGAACTCTCGTTCTCGCAAGGCGGCAAGGTCAGCCTCGAGGAGTTGCCTATCAAGTCGTTGTTGAGAGATCTCTTGCGAGGATTTCTCTCTGCAAGACCAGGGATTCGGGCCAGCACTTCCTGCTGTGTTCCTCAATAACCTCCCCGGTTCATTTCCTTATCCTGCAGAGAGCCCTTCTTGCATGGTGGCGTATAATCACCACCCAATTGTGGACATATCCAGTGATTGTCAACTCTGCTCATCGACTCTTCTGACCAGCTAGCGCACCCCGGAAAGCACCAGGGCTTTGGTCAACCGCACGCTGAACACGTCTGATGACCCCCTTGCTTTCTTAGTGAGAGCTGCAACTCTAGATTGCTCATGCACTTCTCTTCCTCGTCTATAGCTCACGAGTTTCTTCTTCCGCGTCCACAGGAATACACGGCCATGTTGCCGCTGTCTCAAGCGCCCCGAGTAGAGGGTCACCGGCCCTAGTCATGGATATCGACTGTTGTCCCGACACTCATTCGTCTGAGGACCTGCCACACCATGCTCTCTTTCATGCACACTTGCCCAAGAGTTGATGATACGAACCATCCTAGATAGCCTTGACGGGGTCTAGTCCCCCCTCCCCTAGCTCGCTGCATCCAACGGACATCCGACCATGCATCGAGCTAATACCCAGCTGTGGCTTATACGCCTGGCCATGCCCAACTCCAATACATGCCATGTGCAAGCAGTCAGCACAACGCCATATGTCATCCAGGCCGTCGTTTTGCTCCGGCGCCCCGTCTTGCCTCGCCCGAGCATCGATCGACTTTTGCCAAACCCAAGCCCGGCACCATGTCAAAGCTTCAAATCTACGAAGCAGCCGGGGCCGGCCGGTCTAAGAGAAGGCTGCAGCGTCCAGAGCCTACCTTTCTCAAGCTCTGGCCGTGCATATACTCCTCGTGTCATTCATCCTGTATAAGTTCTCTTCCTCTCCCTCTTCGGGTTATGGTACGAGATCCCACTCCTCACTCGCGTCTTCCCTTTCCCTTCTTTTCCCCCTGCATTCGTACTTCCTTCCTCCACTCGTTCGCCGGAAGAGTAACCATAATTACTTAATTTCAGCTCGCTAGACCAGGTCTGTCTAGTCTCGAGTGCCCAATATGTTGCGGTCTCTCTTCGCCTTGGCTTGGGCCAATACTGCCCTTGCCGCGACTGTGACCTACAATTGGGAGGCCACTTGGGTCAATGTTGCCCCTAACAATGTCTCGAGAGCCGTCATTGGCATCAACGGCCAATGGCCTTGCCCCAAGATCGAGGCCACCGTGGGAGACACCGTTGTTGTCCACCTCACCAACAAGCTTGGCAACCAGACCACCGGTATTCACTTCCACGGCATCGACCAGGTCAGCACCAACTGGATGGACGGCCCCAGCATGGTCACTCAGTGCCCTCTCCCTCCGGACCTGACCATGACCTACTCCTTCACTGTAAGTCGAAACAATATGGATATTGAATCTTGTAGCAACACAGCTAACGAAACCATATAGGCTGATACGGGTGGCACTTACTGGTGGCACTCCCACAACATGGGCCAGTACCCTGACGGCATGCGTGGTCCCCTGATTATTCACGACCCCGCGGACCCCTATGCTGGGCAATACGATGAGGAGTACATCCTGTCTGTTTCAGACTGGTAAGTGCTGCACGAGAATGCGAGTGAGACTTCCAGACTAATTCGATGCAGGTACAACTCGGAGACCATTCCTTTGGTACAGAACATGCTGCTTCCGTCCAACACTCGCTTCGCGCCCCCTATCCCCAATGGCATTGTCGTCAACGATGGACTCGGCGCCAAGTTCAATTTTGTGAAGGGAAAGACCTACCGCATCCGCATGATCAACTATGCCGCCTTTGCTTCCTTCATGATTCACTTCGACTCTCACGACATGAACGTCATCATGTCCGATGCCGCCTTCATCAAACAAAAGACCGCATACATGCTGCGCATTTCTCCTGCCCAGCGTTATGATGTTCTCATCAAGTGTATTGACCGCGATAACCGCAACTATGGTTTCCTCGTCGCTGCCGATATCAACCGCGACTACAGCAACAAGAACTTTGCTCAGAGCTGGCCCTTCAACTACACTGGACAGCTCGTCATGTTCCCCGACAGAACCTTTGGTGCCGACGCCGTCAAGGAGTGGCGCCCATCTGACGATGCCGTCTTTGAGCCCTACGGAGACGTCGCCATCCTCCCCGCCGCCACCAAGATCTTCCAGTTCGACTGGCAGTTCTGCTTCGACAAGAACGGCATCCCGCGTGCTTGCGTAAACGGCTCCCCTTACGTCGACCAGAAGGTGCCCACTCTCTACACTGCCTCCACCACGGGCGAGAACAACACCAACCCCCTCGTCTACGGCGCCGTCCACCCCTTTGTCGTAAACTACGGCGACATTGTCGACATCGTCGTCAACAACAACAACGACGCCAACCACCCCTTCCATCTGCACGGCCACCACTTCCAGGTTGTCAGACGCCCCGCTTCCAACACGGGCGTCTGGCCCGGTGTCGCCCGCGCCCGCCTCAATCAGAAGCCCCCGCGCCGCGACACCGTCACCGTCATGGGTAATTCCCACGCCGTCCTGCGCTTCGAGGCCAAGAACCCCGGCGTCTACCTCTTCCACTGCCACATTGAGTGGCACGTCGAGATGGGTCTCACCGCCACCATCATCGAGGCCCCCGAGAGGCTCCGCAACCTCACCATCCCGGATGACCACAAGGCCGCCTGCCGTGCTCAGGGTATCCCCACTGCTGGTAACGCTGCCGGTAACACGGCCAACGTGCTTGATCAGACTGGCATGAACCTCGAGCCTTTCCCCACGTATACTGGGTAAGTCTTCTCCTTTCCTTTTCAGAACGTTGCAGTGATCTTTTTGTATTATCGAAAACTGACACTTACTTTAGTGCCGCCTACAACCCTCCCGCCTCGCCTCCCACCAAGCGTTACAACGCGCCCATCCAGCCTCCCGCCCAGTTCCGCGGACGCACCATCCGCCGCACCGGTCTCTAAAGCAACGGAGACCTGACACCTAATCACACATAATATTTTTCTTTTCCTGAATGGGACTCCCATTACCGTTCTTGTAAATAGTACCCATGATGCCATGTGGATATGCATAGGACTTATTGTTTTGGCGGAGCTGATGACGGTGATGAGGAAGGGTGAGGGGGAGAGATATGGGGTGACGAGAAGGGTCGGTCGGACTAATATGTAATAACGGTCGCTCTACTACGAGCGACTTCTCCCACCTGCCCCTCTCGTCGTCTACCTCGTCTCGCTCCCTTGTGGCGAGTCGTTTTGGTGATGCCGAGGTTTGGCATGGGAGGTCTGACGACCCTGGTAGATTGAGATATTTTCCTTTCTGAATTGTATATGATGGAGCCGTCGGTGGGGATAAAACATATTTAAGTAGAAAATGGGGGGTAATGAGAAGGAAGTTGTTGAAAACTTTGATCTTGACTCTGGGGCTGTGAATCGTGGGTGGACTGTGAAGCCATTTGTCGTAACTGCATGAGTTACGTAGCCTTCCTTCAAGGTGCCGATTGAGCTGTGTCTTCTGCAGACGCTGCAATCTGGACATCGCTGAAGGGAGGCAGACGCGGGTAGACAGGGGGTGTCGGAATGTGATTGAAGTTCGGATGAGATTGACGCACGTCGAGAGTGTTGACGCCGAGGCTCCTCGGTCATGTGTATGCGACTGGGAATAACGAAAAACATCCCCAAAATCTCGGCATCTCCCCAATCCACTAAATATTCGACAAGATACCAATGGGTGCCGGTATAGCGTTCGGTAGGTGTCGCACGACCAAGCTCTATGCTACGAATAGAGCCGTCGAGATTCGGGTGGGCGAGGAAGGCAAAATGCGGGCTAGTTGACCAAGCCCCAAATATCGTGATTCCCGAGTCTTGGTGATGATTGTAGCCCGATGTTCGCCATGCTTGCCAACAACCGAGGCGATTCCGTTTTAGAATCAGTTGCGTGCTTGCTTTGTTCAAGTGCCCGTTCGAAAGTGAGTAATCTCAATATAACCCTCGACGGAGGGAAACGGAAAACATGGAAAGGATGTCAAACAATGACGCGCCTATCCCATGCGATTCCTCGTTTCTGAAGAGCTTGAAACGAAACAAGTCAAAGGTGAAGGAAGGGAGAACACGGAACGCTGAGTGCCAGAACTTCGGATGAAGGCTGATGAGAGGCATGAAGGTGTTGGCTTCCGGAAGAACACCTCCATGTCGAACGACAAACTCACCCCCCAAAACGACGACAGTCGTGCCATCATGATGTTTCGGGGTGTATCCGTCATTGGCGGTATCGAGAATGCGCACGTGTGAAAGTAAAGCCAAAGAGAATAGGCACCAAAAACCCCGGACTGATATGGGCTCTTTATAAAGTGTCGTTGGGTGCGCGTATGTGCCAACTCTATGAGCTAGTTTGAGTGCATTTGAGGCTGATTCGCAGCGGGAGCGCGCATTGCGGCTCTCGTCGTTGTTGGGGTTTGCAGCCACCACCGACGCGCCTGAACCGATCTCAGTCTTCTCGGTCTTGGCGCTGGCGTGAGTCTAATCCGCAAGAGATCTAGTTTGTATAGACCAGAGAAGGGTCTTGCGGATGTTGCCGAGAAGGAAGTCGACTATCGCGTGTCGAAGCTAGTCTGAATTGGTGTGTGGTATTGCTAGCAGGCCTCGTATCGTATGTGAGACCGGATCGACGCGGAGTTGTCTTGGCTGTGCAGAGGCTCATTCTTTGGGAGTGTTGATAAGTGGTGAGGATGGAATTGGTATCAGGATGTTGTTCCGGGTGGGTTTGGCTTGTGTAACAGGTTTCTAGAGGTGAAGATAGTGACGACTGACTTGGGTGTAAATGTTGGACGTGTTTTATGGAATTAAAAAGTTGTACATCTTGAGAAGAAAACCGAGACTTCCACAACCACGCTTGTTTTCCCATCCTGAAGATGGAATCGTGATTACATGACCGAAGACCTTTAATTTCCGTAATATAAAGTCTCGAGAGATCTTGACTGTTGCTGTTACCAACCGAATGGAGTTCAGTAGCTGAGCGGTATTCTCTTGGGCCAGAGCCTCCCGTTCGTCCAAGAAACGTCCAAGACGGGTATGGGAATCGAGTTCGCAAACCATCTTTGCTCTCCTAAAGAGATTCTCAAAGGAGGGAAGGATTACGGATGAAAATGAGAAACATCGTCCACTTTGCAGCGACGCGTTGCCGCCTGCTCATCTTGCGCGGTTGTGGGGGTTGAAGAGTGCTTGAAAGGTGTGATGCCCAACTAGCTCCCTCTAGCATCCAGAGAGAAAAGCTTAGAGGTAGTGGTATAATAGTGCGAGACGATGTGGGTAGAAAGCTGATGCGGGGATTCCGATGATCAAAGATACTCGAGGATCATGAGAGAAATGGTATCGTCGTGCGTGGTATCCGGGACATCGTTGGCAGGTCGAGGTTCCATTCTTTTCCCTGAATAAGCGGACTAGAGAGAGAGGGACGGAATAGTAAAACAAGTTGAAGGGGCGAAGGACAGGAGTTGATGAGATGGCAGCCGTAATACCTCTGTCGGATGCCCACTAGAGAGGGTGAGGGGGGAGAAGGGAGTATTTCGAAGAACGAAATATGCAACAACTCAACAACAGAAGCGAGAGAAGTAAACAGAAGGGTTGGTAATTGAGCATTTTTGCCACCCTACCTCGAGTTATATACCTTCGACCTTCCCGCAGGAGAGTAAGGGCGCCCGGCTCGGCGTGCCCTATCCCGCCTGTGCAACCTCCGTGATCTGCATCTCTGGAAACCCGATGCAGACCTTACTGGGCCTCTATTGGGCTGTTGCTTGCCTTGCGGTGTGTGTGTGTGTGTGTGTGTGTGTGTGTGTGTGTGTGTGTGTGTGTGTGTGTGTGTGTGTCTGTCTGTACATATGTGTGTATGTGTGTGTTCCATCTGGCGCCCCCTGCCTACATCAGAGCATGCAGTATCGTGTCTGGGACATGAGAGAGGCCAATCCACACCACGCACACACTCACACGTACGCGTAACGCAAAGACAAGAGACAGAAAAAAGGCCCTTGGGAAACTTTCCGATGCCCAGCTCTGGGTGGTCAGGTTCCTGGAGCACAGCATGGATGGTGGCCCTTACCCGTAAGAAGGAGGGAGTAAGCAGAGACCAGGTCTCGATGACCGCAGTGAGAGGATAGGAGATATCACGGACATAACAAAGACTGCAAGGTAATCAGAGAAGAAGAAAGAGATTCCGTCCATCGACAAAGAGGAAGGGGACTTGAGGTAAGGAATGAGAGGTAGCGTTTGAATGCTCATCTAAAGCTAGGAAGAGAAAGCCGAGTGATACCCTTCCAGTCCGGTCAACTTGACTGGAACTATGTGATCGGCTCTAACAATGACAGTAATAAGTCGAGAAAAGGTAGAGGAGTTGGGAAAGAGTTGGGAAAAACAAAGATTAGGAAGGATTCCGGGATACGATGCCGGAAAGAAGGGGAAACACCAAGTCTCCTTCCTATTCGTCACGGCTCCTCAACCGCCCTTTCCCCCCCAAACGGAGCTGACGCAAGTCATACCACAGCGGCACCGAAGAAGCTTGACCGCTTCCAATCTTACCTGCCCTCTTACACAGGTTGTAAGGTTTGGTCGAGGAGCCGTGGGAAGGGGGAACGGGGGAGACTGTACGCCGGGAAACGAAACCCCCGGAATACTTGGCCAAAGAGAAGATGAACGCTGGCGTTCATGGACTTTTTCCCCCAAAACTCTACCCAGTTCACCGGAACCACGAACTGACTGGGCTGGCCTGACTAACCCAAGCAGAAAATTGACTGGTTCCCATCTCCACGGGTTCGCACAAAACGAAACCTACCAAGTACGGGAAGACGGGATTCTAGCGGGATCCGTCGAAGAACCCGGTTGAAACATACAGAGCCGTGACAGGTGTAAAAATAAATAAATAAAATGGGAGGCCTTGTGGTCTGTTCGTCTCCATTAGTATGGTCTTGGAGATATCACCACATCACGGGCGTGTCTGACTGTTCTCCTTTGAGGGCGTGAACTTCGAAAGTAGGTACAGAGAGGACCAGAGATGGACAAACCACGGTCTCTCGGATATAATTTGATTCAAAAAGTAATCATGTTCGGTCTCGTTTCCACGTCTCATTCGTGGGTTCATTGCGATGGGATTTGAGGTTCTGTCCCAAGGCCCCAAAGGTCCAAGATCCAAGAGAGAGGAAAAAGAGGGGATGAAAACGAAAAAAGAGGTCAACCCGGGGAAGCAGCCCAAGAGCTTGGGTAACTTGGTTCCAAGGATCACCAAGAAAAGGTAAACCAAACAGCAAAAAGTCAAAGAGAAACTTGGAGAGGGAGACACTTCCAGTCAGCAATGGAGGGAAGAAAAAATATGCCCTCAATCCAAACTCTTGATTCGTTCAAGACAAGAGAGAAAAAGCGGGATGTGCGTGAGACATTGGTGCTCCTCCTCCAACCCGGTGAACGTCACCTTTTGGTTCGTCTCTTACCTTTCCATGTTCGTGTCAGAATCTGTACGCCTCGGGCAATGGCTGAGCGCGCGGCGGGGACGTGTGTAAGCTTGGTACATGAGGTATATGCGCGCGCGCGCGTGTGTGTATGTCCGCCGATGCGCGCTTCCATCCAATTACGAGATGCTGCAAGCACGACCTTGTTTGCCTTTCTACTTACATGCCTGGCTGCTGAGAGCAAAGACGGGCAGACATACATACTTGCACATAAGTCATGGACACGTAGGGAGGTAGAGAGGGCGTGATTGTATTCGATGCCTGATAACTCTGATAAGCAAGACAGCACGACAAGACAGATAGACATCTATGAATGCCCGTGGGTTACGGATGTTCGGACTTAGGAGGGCAGTCTGCATCTGCGTTGAGGATACAATCAACGGCTTCATGGACTTTTCATCATGTCCAGATCGGATAGATTACACAATTCTCGGGGACTCTCAAAGGATACTAGGCAATGTCCCTTGGTCTCCGGGTTCTAGAGTTGAGCCGTTCCCCGTCTCGGATCATGAACGGAATCAACTGGCTCTGTGATCCTAGAGGATTAGGATAGTCTAACACGTATGATGGAATCCAAGTGTCAGGCCTACGTTGTAAATGATGGAATGGTACTCCAGGGATCTAGTTCGCTATGATCAACTAGTACATCAAGTAACTAAAGCATGCCCCAACTTTACTCATCCTAGTTGAATGAACCTCTCAAAGGCTGCAAGAAGATTGAATCTGTCCCAATGCCCGGGGACCCGATAAACCTCCAACGGTCAAGACATCTCAAAGGAGACAGAAACTCACATCTCCCAACGCAAGATCTCCTGATCCTCAAGCGAGATCTCCTGATTATCCCGATAAACTTGAGATCGAAACAAAACTGGACGAAAAAAGCCCCCCTCAAAAAACATACCTATAGAGAGACAACAGTAAATACAGCCGGCATGGTTCGACCGAGACATGTCCTCCGAGCCGAGCGGCATAGGAATAAACCACAGGCCTGGGGCCGGGAGAAAAAACGCCTTTCTCGTCCATTCGTCCCATACATACCCTTTCCCGACGTAGGGCAGGAAAGAAAAAGAGGCCCCCCGTACTGACCAAGCGGCGCGCCGGCACTACGGGAACTTGGATAAAGTTGGATCTGGCAGGAGCCAAGATGCGTCCTGCAGAGAGGGGGGCGTGTCAGATCTACGGAAAGTAGGTTGTTCATCTTATTCCGTAGTCCTTGGGGGGTAGAACGATAGGGTTCCTTGGTCTTGAAAGTCAACAGTCCACGTAGGACAGAGGACGGAAGGTGTGCAGATGGAAAGCCATGGCCAGGAAAAAGACAGGAAGCCCTGTACGCCCGATGTTCGGACAAGCATGCGCCAGCCAAGGACCGAAGTTCGGGTGGTCAGACAGAGACAAGACGCCCGACTTTGAGATTGTGAGGGTAGTTCTGAGAATATGCCCGTTGATGGGGCTGAAAGCTTACGCCTGGTGTTGAGTCGCGAGTGGACAGTAGAGATAACCAGCCATGCTCCAGTCCGCATAGGGCCGAATGCACTTCCTTGATCAGGCCCTCTGAGACATTGGGGACACAGTCAGAAGCAAAAAATAGGATAGAAGAAGACTCCTCCACAGACTATATGACGGTTTCACCAACAGGGGGGATCGGTAAAGCTGATGAAGAAGCTGTTGGACAACGTAGCATCGCCAGACAACAGACAACTGCAGCCTAAAGGCGTAGGCGTTTATCCTCCCCTGCGCCTCGGCAGGAAAAGAAGGAATATGCAGCCACGTCTCTTGGTTTCGTGTATTAATCCACTCGGATCGATCGCTTGATGTACGAGAGGAAAGCCCCGAAGGCTACAGATTTGGCCTCTCGGGTAAGGCGCCGGTTTGGGCTGTTATCAAATCGCCCTGCTAGACGTGTCTAGCTTGTGACTTTGGCAACAATGATGGCCTGACTACCGGATGTCAGATAAGAAAAAAGTCGGAAACCCGTAGTTGTAAGTGATTGGATAGGTCGAGATGCCAGTAGAGTTGATGTTGCCTATACCGCCAACCTTCTGTTTCCAGGACAGCAGTCTTGGACCAAAAGTCCATCTCTCGAGATGCCCGTAGAACCATGAGAAAGATCAAAGACCTGTCTTGTAAAGGGACAAGATCGAATAGGTGATCTGAGAATTCGCCTTCCGAGGCAAGTCGGTTCGAACCCTAGAAACACGTCTGAGATTAACAAAATATCCCGAAGAACGCAGCACCTAGTGTCAGGGCCTATTTACTAGAACCCGGTGTCAAGCAAAATTCCCCTATTTCTCGACGTCCACCCAGAAGAAGCGGCTTACAAACACTGATTCGCGCTGCTATAGCAAGGACAGAGCAAGTCCAATGCTCAATCGAGCCCGAGCTTGTTCGCATACAATCAGTTCCAGGGGCTTCTATTTCGAGAGAAACGCTAACCGCGGAAGGATATGATCGCAGAACTGAGGTGTTCCTCCGAGAGGATTACGAGGAGGTTGTCTCGACTAGACCGGGAGCACGTCCGGGCCATAGACTTGCAGAGTAGCCGAGCGACCGTGGGGAAGACACTTGGCGGCGGGGGACGTTCTGGAAAACGATCGGTGCTACGGATGGGAGTGTGCATATAGGACAGAAGAATGTCCACCGAATCGGCGAATGGCTAGTACCACAACATCCAGATGGAAGGGAAGTATTGGCGGTATAAACGACTCTACTCACTGCCAAAGCTATTAGTTGGTAAACAAGAAACTGGAGGGCGATAACATCAGAGTGTCTTGGAGGCACCCCGCTGACCTGAAAGATATCTAGGTCGAGTAGGGTATTCGTGGTAACACAGAAGCGTCATCGTTTTCCGAAATAAGACAGAGATGCTTGCTGCCTAGCAGGTCCGAATCGACTGCTGTAGTGTGGGATGGTTGTAGGTACCTGGGTGATGATTCCTATGATATGCAGGCTTCGGCAGTTCAAGGGACCAGCACTGGGACAGCCAGGTGTCGTTTATCAGCATCACCACTGCACATTTGCAAAAAATGCAATAGTTCTGTAATCAAAACAGCGACCAACTTGGGTAAGACCACCCGCTGAGGTTAGACGCGCTAGAGGGACGAAGCAAGGCACGCCATGCAGGCGTGGTCGGACGTCCGATGGCACAGCCGCAGTCGATTTAGGAGTGGGTATTTTGGACTGCCCTTCATTCCTCCCCCCCCCGCCTTGCACACCGGCCGGGGCGTCAGGTAAACTCGCGCGCTTCTTGGGCCCACCAAGATAAGTCGGACGGGCGGGCGGCTGCAAATCATGGGCCCATTGTTGGTTGTTTGATGCAGGCAAAGCCTGCAGCGGTCGCCGTGGAAGCCGGCGCAAAGCTGCACCTGGGTTCCGGAACGGCAGCACCATCTTGGACCAGATTCGGCGTTGAGGAGCATTCCAGACCGGAACGTCGGTAGTCCAAGCAGGAATGGTCGTTTGGGCTGCCGTACTCGGACTTGGAGATGAAGTAGAGTCGCGTAGTGTTCCACCTGGACCGTTTAGGTACGGCTGGCCAACAATGGAGTCCGGATGCACGGAGAGAGATGACTCGTTATTGGCAGGAGATCCAAGGCTGTGGCTCATGGCAGCACCTTGTTGCAGAGCCTCCCGCCTGAGGTAGAGATGACGTTGATGTGTCTCACATACTGCCATCCATACTCTGGGACTCGGGAGAGTTGCGAGTGGTACAGAGACGGCGTTGGACCATACCAAGACCACAGGCCTTTTGTGGTAAATGCGATCGACCAACACCATTGCTGTTCAGCTCATGCATGGCTCCAAGAGGCTGGCTGGAGGGATAGAATCGGCATGAGACGACAGGCCGCGGCGCCGATTCCGATCGTCCGCCCTCCGGACAAATGTGAACCATCTTGCGGTAAACCAGGCCCATCACTTTACTTAGCCGGGTGCAGATTGCTATCGGAGTTGAGTACGGAGTAGTGGTGGAGGGTACTCCGGCACTTGGGCAGAGAATTGCATCCTGCCGTGGGTCTTGGCAGCCAAGCCATCAAATCTATTTCCGTGAGGAACGATTTACGATGCCCGTTTGTCTTCTGCTAGTGATTAGTCGCGTTTCGTTTCCTTTTCTTCTACTGGGGAGGGGGACCGTTGGGGATCAGCATGCGGCTAGGCACGAAGACAAGCATCGCAAGCTAAGGCCATGTCAGGCAAGGTAAGCTGTTCCCCCTAGGGAAAGGTGCGAGATGGAAAAGGGGAAGGGCGTGAATTGGGGCGTGAAATCTGGCGATGTGCTGCGATGACAGGATTCGACCCCCGCGTGTCCGGCTTGGTCGAGTGAAGCCAAAGTGAGCGAGTGAGTTCAAGATGAGGAGGCCCAGCCCCGATGTGGTGAGATGAGGTGTTGGACAAGGTGAGTAAACGCGTGTAAGTGAGTGCCAGCCAGGAAAGGATTGTCCTTGTCTCCGAGTGCCTGGGCTTGGTGAGTGCTCCCCCCACCATCTCTTCCTCCCTTCCTCCCCTCCATATTTTGGGTTGGGGCGACGGGAGGATGTGACAGTGTCCTGGGCTCGTACAACGTAGGCGCTGTGAGTCGATAATAGCCACATCACCTCACCCGTATGAACGGTGTATTCCTACCGCTGTACTGCACCGTAAAGAAGAAAACCCTTGTCGCCGGGGGCAACGGGGATAGTAGAGACAGCGGGCCGCCCTCGGACAATGCTGGCCGCTAAGGTTTGGTGGTGAAGCAGTGCCCAGTGCAGGATTTTCCAGCAGGGCACCTCAGTAAAGCACACCTAAGTGCCTGTGGTCAGTCCCATCATTGTTGATTAGTGGTCAAAACTTCTAGGGAGCCATTTGGGCGGCGCAGACTCACCGGCGATTTTGTGATTGGTTCACCTGCGACTGAATAACCGCTAGAGCATCCCACCACATCTCTTTTCTCGTCCTTGTTTTCACCTTGCCCCGTAGACATACGAGACGACGGCTCGCATCCTGTGGAAAGCAGCATCAAGGTCTATTTTGAACAATGCTCTTGTTCTAGCCGTATCCTATGCCGTGCGATGTGGGATCCCGAAGGCATGGGCAATCCAGAACAGCACTTGCAATGCTAATCGAAGAACAAACATTGCACGGCGGTCCGTCCATCGCAATCAATACCAGGAAAAGAACGACAAAGTCTGCTTGTTCTTCGTGTGCATACGATCCTGCCTGCTGCTATTGCATCTGCAAGTCATCCATTTCTGGCTTGCCGTCAAGATGAATGACTTCGAGACTCGAGGATTCGGTGGCCGCCCATTGCTCCGTCCGCACATGTACGACTGTCGCTCAGGCGTCGGGCCCGCGTTCCTCAGCTACATGAGGATCTTCGTAGATAGCCCTTCCTGGCAGAACTTCGTCGAGATCCGTCTCAAATACGGGCTTCTGCAGAGCACCACTATCTCCTCAGACATCAGTCGAACTTGGTCTTCGTTGACCATGGGGCGCCGACCGCCGTTGGGTCTGGGTGGCCTGAAGAGGCTTAAGGCGATAGCCCAAGTGAGCTTGGCTGTGCGCCACCAAGCCCGTCCGTTCACGCTGCTCAAGACGGCCGACTTTCAGGTGAGCGATGCGCCGGCTAGACGTATCTCGTCCACAGCCAACTGATTATCTGACAGCAGCGAGATATGGACCAACGTACTGTCAGCAGCTGGGATACAACCTGCTCCGAGACGCCGCATCGCAGAGGGTCCCTCTTTTCCCTGGCTGTCCATTGCGGCGGGACAGAGGCAGGCGCCAGATATTGGGATGAATGACCAGACAAGGCATGCATTCCGCATACGTGCCGCGTTAGACGTCTTTGCGAGGAATATGGCGTACGGGCCGACTAAGACCACGCCCCATTTATCCACCAGGGTGGCCAAGGCCCACGCCCCTCGCCCCTCTTTCACCACCACGAAGATGTTGGAGTTGGTAAGTCAAGACAGCAGGGAAGTGTGTAATTCTGGAAACTGAAGCTTGTCAGAGTCAGCCTGAAGAAGCAGGCGGGTGGACATTGCCTTGTGAGGCAGGCAATGAGCCGTTGCAAGTACCGGCCCATCTCAAAGCTTGCAAACTTTGACATGAGGAGACTGTAGCGAGAGCGAATTTGGGATTGTATGTCAAATCAGATAATAGTGCTGCGCTGAGCCGTGCAGTGCAGCACCGTATACCGTAACTCGCAGCTCATGGTGGTTTGTCATTGCGCCGCGGTTGTCGTCCAGATCGTAGGCCTGGTTATGTCTAAGATGTGTGTAAGTCGCCTGGGCTTGAGCCAAGATGGGTGGTAAGAGCCATGACCGGATCTGGTGTGGCCGTTGTCCGTCGGACCGTTGATTCGGATACCACTTGCGGCTTCCAGGTTATTCTGGAAAAAGGAAGAAAGGTGTCGGTGCTCAGAGTCGGGAGAGTCGATTAAGGTGCTTGTGGAAGAGGCATCTGAATCTCAGCGTAGCTGAGCAAAGGGCCCAAGACAGAGGAAAGTGAGGTATGGATCGAGTGCGTGGATGCGTGCGAGTGTCGGTCTGTTCTGTCACTGTCCGTCTTTGCCATCCGAGTGTTTCCAAACGGCATGTGCCATGTATCGGACGAAGGCGATATACTCTGGGACGTGCGGCACCGTGCTGACGCAGGCTGTTTTGCCAGCTGGGCTTGTGTTTGGTAATCGAATGTTTGGAATACAGAGTAGAGACGCAGCCGACTGGAGTGGGAGTGGCGCCTGAGTGGCACGAGTGGGAACGTCTGTTCAAACTTCAGAGCGCGTTCCTGTTCCTGCCGCCGCCGTCGCCGCCGCCGTCGCCGCGCTTGTGCTTCTTCTGCGAGAGCCTCTGGCGTGCCTGGGCGTATCGTGCATTGAGGGAATCGTGTAATTAGGTGCAGCGCGCGCGTGTTTCCGGTGGAACGGTGGAAATCAACCATGCCCACAATAGACGATGGCCTGTTTGACGGTCGAGGTCGAAGCACGGCATCCGGTAAGGTAGGGGAGATTTGGCTCGGGAGGCGGCCCATGGCACGGCGTGGCAAGGGACCTGGCAGATGGGAGGCAAGGAGATGATCTGCAGTCCCCTCTCACTAAGAAGAGGTCGATGCTCTGAACCGGCTCCAGAGAATAGGAATAAGCGTAAGGAGAAACGAAGCCAAACGAGACCCCTTGCCTCGACGCTATACCCGAAGAGGCAAGGCTGCGGAAGGGGATGCGAGCCCCGAGAGACAGTCCACGGGTGCCACGCAGCACGCTTGCCTCCCAGGTTGGCCAAGATAGGTACCTGGAGCATGTACTGCGCGTACGTACTTTGTACCGGATCCAGGTCCACGAATTAGAAGGAGGAACTTCCAGGTTTGGGAAGAACGGGAGACCTGGCGACGTTGCGAAAGGGGTCTTCCCGGAACATCCATGGCCCGCACCGCACCATACACACCTTTAGGTTTGCCTTTCACCTCCAGTCCTATGGGCTGTATCCGAAGTTCTCTCGTACGAAGTAAGGTACTGCCAAAGGTATATCGCTCGTGTACTCCGTACTGCTGTACGTATTGCTGACAGAGCATCATCGAGGGGCGAGCAGTGACTTCCATTGCCCAACGTCTGTGGACTTGTCTCTGGGTAAATGCGTTGGCTTCGTTTCTTTTGCGTACGGTCCAGTATTTGTGATGCCCTTTTGGACAAACACTGGCTGGCGAGTCTATGCTTTCCCAGATGCAGCTAAAGAATGGAGAAACAAGCTTCCCATAAAGATACCATGCTTGGTAAGGTACTCCGTGGCCGTACCTACCCGGCGCTCTGTAACCTGCATACCCACTGCGAATAGGGATGTACTCGGACTGGAGTGGTATCGAGAATATCCACTTTCCTGCTGAGGTAGGTAAGTCAAGAGACAGCTTTCCTTGGGTATTCTAGGCACCACAGTTTTCAGGTGAAGTGGAGGTACGTTCTTTTCCTGTTCCGACATGATGTGGACGGGAATAGCGCAGTGTAGGCTGATAGGAGCTGGTAGGAGACTGGGCGGTGTCAAGGTGCATGAGGTGGGCAGAAGAAGGGGAAGAAGTTCAACGACAACACCCTCACCTCACCTTGTGCGGCCATCTTCCTCTCTCTCCACTTATCGATCGGTACGTACTTGCTGGCCCTACCGGACGTGGGGTGAGGTGAGGTGAGATCGAAAAGTGGTGCTTTCCCCCTTGCCCATTTACTTGCCGGGGCCCGAGACCCCACTCTTGCACCAAAGGGGGCAGCGTTGAACAAGGGGAGAAGGATGCGATCCACCTTGCTTACCTATCCGAGTTCGGTACGTATCTCAGACAGGAACGTTCCTATCTCAGGGCTCAAGTTAGGAAGGAACGTGGAGTGCGGTGGGCGTCCGCCGACTTCCTCTCGAGAGCCGCAAGCCGCAGCCCATCACCACTTGCCCGCATCCCGTCCGCCGCCGTCAAGTCCGACGACGTCAGCCAGGGCACCTCAGCTGTTTTCTCCGAACTTCACCCAGCAACGTCTCGCATCCTTCTTCCAGCCCGTCAGCCTCTTCTGTCATCTCGACATGGACATCCATCGACAAGGGCTCGCGAAATAACCAGACATCGATATGCATTCTATCTACATCCGATGCATCAGCAACCATTACCATTGAAATCCTTCGCTTTTTCCCTTTTAAACGCCAAAATCATGATCGTCCATTGGTCCTGAAGCCCCCAAAAGGAGGGGGGGGGGGGGGGGGGGCGTGGGGCGTGTCGGTTTGGTTTCTATCTCTGGGTTCATCTCGCTTTGGCAATGTCCATGGGGATGTCCGTCGGACAAAGCGTCGACCCAGCGCCCACCCCCGCAACCACAGCCACAACCGCACACAATCCGCATCCCGTAACCCGCAATCTACCTACCCAACGTCCATCGACCCTGTTCAATCGCTGGCCATCCGAGCTCTTCTCCAGGAATCAGACAGGCCTGCCGCCCGCCGATTTGTCTGACACGCCGTTCTTTTCCATGTGGGGAATCCGCATCGCGAGCTGTGTGAGGCCCAGTCTGCGTACCCGGCCTGGCTCGTATTGCGGAGTTTCACCAGACCGTTTCTACCATGGTGCCGTACGCTGCTGCCCTGCGTGGCCATGTTTCGCATCTTTGCTCTGCTTACCTTCTTCAGTACTCTCCTCATGGCTTCTCGCGCAGGCTCAAGGTGGTCCGGTCTCGACGTCCCTCTGATGCCAGCCCTGCTCCCAGGTTGACGGCTTTCCAGCAACCTCGATTGCACCCAACGAGGTAATCTTGGGGCATACCCTTAACGGACCGTCCTCTTCTCAAACCCGTTTCACCGCTTTCGATCTTGTTCTTGCTGTTAACGCTTCCGAGATCGAAACTCGTTTTCCTTCGACTGCCATGCGAGCTTGCTCGAAACTCGTCCCGTAGCTCACGACTCTGTTGCTGTACAGCCCTGCGCTGCCTGCCTACCCAATACGGTAGGAGGCTGCTGGATCCTGTGTCTTCTGGACAGGTAGACCAGGCAACACTCCTGGTGCCATCACGTCATGTCTGGCCAAGATGTACTTGACGTGACCCACCGACAGGGACACTTACTACTGCTTACTTTCAAGCACAACTCGAGATATGCGCCGTCAAGGAAGCCCGATACATGAGTAAACGATACACGAGCCGGTACATTCTCTATCCCTCGATCCACGGCGCCGGCCTGGGCGTGTGGATTCTCGAGAGCGAGAAACTTTGGCAAAATGCGTGAGCGAGGTCCTGCTCTGCCTTGCTTCCGCTAGAGTTGCCGCGCTGCGGCCCATTGTGGTCCTTCTTCTGTCTGTCCGGCTGCCCGTTCACCCAGCATAGATGAATTGGATTAGGGAAGCCCGTGTGGCGGCCTCGACCGCTTGCCCTGAACCAATGGACCTCGACCGATGCGGCAAGACACTGAAAATCATCCATGAACTTCGGTCACCGAGGATGCTCAGGGCCGGACTGACGCTAGCCACCCGGGCGAGAAAAGGATGGGCCCTAGTGCGAACGAAGGGAAGGGGGTGCACGGGGGCGTGCGGATACTTGGGATGGATTCTGTCTGCGCACCCCCCCTTTTACCTCACTCCCTCTCTTACCAGCATGTGTTGCATGTTGCGATTGATACCGCTATCCATCAGCCATGACATTGACAGCTGGGTTGAGTAACTCGGGAGGTGGTCTGTTGTTGGATTGGTGTGCACACCCGTTGCCCGTCCGTCCTGTCTCGAGCCCATCTCAGTCATATAAGTTCAAGAGACTCTCCCGGCATCCAGACATATTCTTCTTTCCAGACCATCGGAACCTCATCACCCTAGGAAATCTATGTCGACAACCCTTCAAGATGGCCGACATGATGTCTTATCTCCTCTTCGGAGATCAGTCACTTGATACCCATGGATTTCTCGCCGAGTTCTGCCGTTCAGGGAATCCGAGCACCCTTGCGAAGACGTTCCTCGACCAGGCTGGCCAGGCTTTGAGGGAGGAGATCGATGGTTTGGGCAAGTTGGAGCGGTCGAAGCTTCCCACGTTCCTGTCACTCCGACAACTCAACGAGCGATACCACGCCCAGAGCATCAAGCACCCGGGTATCGACAGTGCCCTGCTGTGTATCACCCAGCTGGCTCACTACATCGAGTACGTCGCCTGGACATTCAGCGGAAATTTCATGACATTCTCACT